TTTCACACAAATTATTATTATTATTATACAGTATTTATAAAGCGCCAATAGTTTGCTCAGCGCTGTACATTACAAAGGGGGACAGAACATGTGACAGAACAATACCAATACAATGCAAAACATGAGGGGATTGAGGGCCCTGCTCTTTCGAGCTTACAAATAGAGATTTCTTTTGATGGTAATTGATCACCATTGGGGTTTTTATTTTTTATTATGTAAACGAAACAAAACTGATAAAAAAAAAAAAAATTGCTTACTGCTATAAAACATATCCAATCAAATATTAACTAGATTTCCTGCAACAGATCTGTTTATTTTGTATTACATGCAGTTATATGCAGATCTTTCTTACTAATATGATATAATTAACCACTTAAGCTGCGAAAGATTTTACACCTTTCATGACCAGGGCATTTTTTTGCTATTCGGCACTTTGCTACTTTATCTGGAAATTGCGCAAACATGTAACACTTTACCAAAATGAAATTTATATCATGTTTCACACAAATAGAGCTTTCTTTTGTTGGTATTTGATCACCATTGGGGTGTTTATTTTCTATTATATAAATGAAAAAAGACTGAAAATTTAAAAAAAATACTTTTTTTTGCTTACTGCTATAAAACATCCAATAAAAAATTAAAAAATCTAATTTCTTCATAAATTTAAGCTAAAATGTATTCTTGTAATCTACTACATATCTTTGGTAAAAAATAAATCCCAATTAGTGTATATTGATCGGTTTTCATGAAAGTTATAGCATCTACAAACTATGGTGTATATATTTTTTTTATACTAATAATGGCGGTGATCAGCGACTTATACTGGAACTATGATAGTGTGGTGGGCAATCTGACACTAACTGACACTGGGTGGAAACTGAGTAACTGACATCTGCACTAATACAGTGACACTAATACAGTGATCAGTGATAATACTATATAATGTCACTGAGCTAATGACACTGGCTAGGAAGGGGTTTACATCTAGGAGCAATCAAAAGGTTAACTGTGTGTCTAACAATGTGTAATGAGTGTAATGTGTGCTGCTTTTACTAACATATGCGGTTGTGTAGAAAACACAGCCACATCACTGCTCCATGTACAGAGCCCTGTTTTGTTATTAAACACAGGGTTCTGTACTGTCATTTGCTAAGCCCATCAGCAGATTCTAGCCATAAGTCATTGTCCGGGACCTGCTAACCGACTTGTGCTGAAGTCAATGTCAGCACAGATGGGGTGGCAGGCGCGCGCTTGTGTGTTCCCTACCTGGAAATGCTGATCATGTACATATACGTGATCCAGCACAGCAGGGCCACCCTGCCGCCTTATAAAGACAGTGAGCGGTCTGCAACTGGTTAAAGTGGACCCATTGTTTTACCTACAGCAGCAGATTCACTTAATGCTGGTTCACACTAGTGCGACTTCTGATGCGACTTGAGTAACACAGAATTGCATGACAAGGGAAATCACATTATATTCAATGGTGCCCATTCAAATCAATGCGACTCAGTACAGTTCAATTTTGGAAAAGATTCCTATGATATTTTGGTGCGATTTACAGTGCAACTTGGCCCCATAGAGTATGCACAAACACAACCAAATTGCATCAAAATTGCACTACATAATTGCATTGAAATCCGTGGCAATATTGCATCATATGTGTAGTTGTATAAGTAGTAAAATGAATTAAAAACAAGCACCCCGACATCTCTAGCTGTTTGTAATGTGAAGTATTTCATTCTCAAAGCAAAGATACTTAAAGATCACAACAAAAACTCCAAAGTGTAACACAAGCATATCACCAGGGATCCGCCTGACAGTTTTCAGGTGGACTTGATCAGCTCCTTCATTCTCCTATATGGTCATCTGTCCATTTACACCTGCCTATATCCAATTTGATCCACTAAAAAAAGAGGGAAGGATTGGATTAGATGGCATTCGAGCGTAAATGGACAGGCAATCTGTTTACACCCAACTGCCCATAGAGGAGAGCAGGCTGTGCCCTATCCGCTCTGCATAAATGGAGTATACACAGACCAGCCATCCAACTGCTCAGTGGGAATCAACAGACAGGTCCCCTGCTGAGCAGAGAGACTCCTAGCCCATCTGGAAGGGGCCTTAGTTGGTTTCACACAGCTTAGAAAAATGAACTTTGAGAATGAATTTATCTAAAACGACTATAGATACTAAGGTGGATACCAGCTTGTTTTAAACTATTTTTTTTGTGCTTGTTTAGAATGTAAAAAATTAGTGTGCATGATCTTGGCTTAGGTTAACTTTAGACCTAAAAAATGATAGCCAAAACATTTTTTGCTTAGTTTTGGATGTTATTCCATGAAAAGAAACAAACAGCATTTCATAGTGCAATCTGTTGTGTTTATTGTAATAATAAATTGCGTGTCTACTCCCATGGGGCAATCAAACAATAGCATGAAATATATCTGGCACTGCACCGTTCTTTTGACAACTGTAACATTTTGGAAATCCCATCACCTTACTGTTTTGGGGACATTGATTCCCAGGTTAAAATGTGAATTCTCCTAGTGGTGACACAGACAATAATAAAAATGAAAAAAGTGAAAATGTTTTGCCTATTGATAGATTTTAAGTTATGCCCCAAAATTGAAGTGAAATTAAATAAAAGGGACAGGAAGAGGGGTTTTCTTGGATAATAAAAGTAACATTTGCCAACTTGTTGTAACTGCTCAAGGTCATGGCCAGGGGTGGACTGACAACTCATAGGGCCCCCCGGGCAATAGGGGATCATGGGGCCCCTGTGTCCTTGCCCACACTCAAAAAAACTATAAAAAAGGTACCAGGGGCATTTCATGGGGCCCCCTACTGACTCCGGGCCCTCGGGCAGTGCTCGAGTGCTCGTATGGTCAGTCCGCCCCTGGTCATGGCTTACTTTTAAAAGTTTAAAATGTAGTACAGGTTTACTATAACAAATGGTTTATTAAAAAATAAAAAAGTCAATAGGCACAGAGTAAATGCAGTATTTAGATGAAGAGCTTTTGTGTGAGTGGAAATTGTCCTTGAATGCTGTTATCAGAGACCTATATCTCTACTGCTTAGCTGCAGGCTAAAACATAGACACTCTCAAGACATACACAAGGTCACATAAATTATGGGGCTCAGAACACCATAACATTAGCATGATGTACACCTCAATCACTGATGCATTTATACCTCAAGCGCTTCATTTTTTTTCTTAGCTGAATTTTTTTTCCTATCTTTTATTGATATTGTAAAAACTATAATAATATGGTGCTGTAATGACTTTTGTGATTTACTGGCCAGTTCATAAATAAGTTAAAGTTACATTTCAAAACAGTCAATAAATGTGCACTTCACAACTTTAAAAATGTGTTTTAGCAAAAGTTAAGGGACAAAAGTGGTTTCTAATGAAAAGGCAAACAAAAAAAAAAAGAAAGGATGATATAAAGAAGTGTAGCTAAAGCTTTTTTGGGCTACACTTCTCCTATGGATCACAGTAGTGCAGTAAGTTCTGCACTCCTGTGACCCATTTTCAGCTGACAGCAGGCCAAAGCCTGCTGTTGGCTGATGTCACAGAGCCGGTCCAGGCTCTGAAAATATCCCAATCATATGGTCAGCATCAACCCAAAATCCTGGACTGGCACCTGGCTTAGCCTCTGCCTGAGCCATCTCCTCCTTCCTCCTCCACAGCCCAGCACTCCAGTGGATGCTGGAGGGGCAGAGCAGAGAGCCGGAGACTGACAGTGCTGGCTCTCTGCTCAGAGCAGAAAGGGAGAACTGGTCTTTGATCGCTCAGTTCTCTGTTCAGTGCAGGCGAGGGAAAGATGCAGCATTGGACCAATGCTGCATCCACCTGGGTGAGTATAATGATTTTTTTTAATACAGCCCATACTTCTCTTTTAGGCAGGGTACACATGGGCATTTTTTCCTCATTCAACCAGCAGGTTGAATAAAAAAAAAAAACCTGCAAGATCCCCATATCCACATAAGCAATGTGGATGCAGGAATCTCCCCTGTGAGCTATTGTATTCTAACAGCGGGGACTGATTAATGCTTCATACTCCAAATGAATGCTGGTTTTTCAGCATGACCATTCAACAGATGCCAGTTCTTAGACCAAACTGGCCAATTTGCAGTCCGTGTATACTAGCCTTTAGGCTAGAGTTAAACAAATTTTAAAGTGTATGTATAACAAAAACATTTTTTGTTTTAAATAGAGTATGGCAGGGTTAAAACCCATGGTAATATATTTTTTCTGGCTGTGTCTCAATGGGAAGAGTTCCCTCAACTTCTTTTCAAGGGAGAGGAACAGCAAGTGAGGAGGAAACGGTTGTTGCCAGGCCAGATATTAAAACTTTTCCCATCACTTTCTGTCTTAACCACTTGCCTACTGGGCATTTTCACCCCCTTCCTGCCCAGGCCAATTTTCAGCTTTCAGCACTGTCGCACTTTGAATGACAATTGCGTGGTCATGCAACACTGTACCAATATGAAATGTTCGTTCTTTTATTTCACACAAATAGAGCTTTCTTTTGGTGGTATTTAATTACCACTGGGTTTTTTATTTTTTGACAAACAAACCAAAAAAACCTGAAATTTTGAAAAAAAAAGTTTTTTTCTTAGTTTCTGTTATAACATTTTGTAAATGAGTAATTTTTCTCCTTCAATGATGTGCGCTAATGAGGCTGTAGTGATGGGCACTGTTAAGCTGCACTGATGGGCATTGATAGGCGGCACTGATGAGCACTGATGAGGAGGCACTGGTAGGTGGCACTGATAGGCATTGACAGGTGTCACTGGTGGGCATTCACAGACATCAATGATAGGCACTGAAAGGCAGTACTTATATATGGCACTGATAGGCAGCACTGATAGGTGGCACTGACTTGCACTGATAGGCGGCACTGACTGCAACTGTTAGGTGGCACTGACGTGCACTGATAGGCAGCACTGATGGACACTGAAAGGCACTGATAGGCAGCACCGACTGGCACCGATAGGTGGCACTGATTGGCAACACTCATAGGTGGCACTGACTGGCACTGATAGGTGGAACTGACTGGCACTGATAGTTGGCACTGAAAGCCAGCTCCGATGGGCACTGCTATGTGGCATTGATGTGCACTGGTAGGCACTAATATGTGGCATTGATGTGCACTGATGGGCACTGACAGGTGGCATTGATGGGCAATGACAGGTGGCATTGATGGACACTGACAGGTGGTACTGATGGGGCTACACTGATCATCAGGGCACTTCATCATCAGTGTCCTGATGATCAGTGTTGATGTCCCCTCTGAGGAATGCTGATTACCGGCATTTCCTTATTTACATACGATCAACTGTGATTGGACGCAGCTGATCACAAGTCATAGGCTCTTTCTACTGATCACTGCGCTGCATGCCCCTGAGGGCGCGCACGTGCAGTTAAAGTGGTAGGACGTTGTATGACATCCTCCCAGAAAGAGAGAACCACCTTGCTCCCGTCATTTTCTTATATGGCAGGCGGGAGGCGGTTAATGACAATTGTCACCAGGATAAATAGAGTGTGAACCTTCCGAGAAATGACATAGACAACAATAAAAACCTTACACAGGCTCCAACCCTTCCCCACTCCACTCAAAAAATCAAAAAAAAAATTGCTATACATATGCTTTAATCTTTCTCTTCTGAGGGATATATCAACTGCTTTAGGTTATAACCCCGTTTACACAAATAGACCTATCAGGTCCACCTGTCAGTTTTTCAGGTGGACCTAATCGGAGCCTCCTATCTCTTCTATGGAGTGGTGGGTGTAAAAAAGACATATACCTACTGTACATTCAAACCAATCTGCTAAAAACAGATGGATCCATTCCCCTTCCATCTAGTTGATCGGAAAGCAGTTGGTTTTACATGGACAGGCGGTCCAATTACATCTATAAATAGTGGTAAAAAGTGAGTACTGACCAAGAAGAAAGCAGCTGTGCACTCTAAGCTACCAATGTACACTTATAAACAGAATAATAAAACAGTGCAGCGCTTGAGGAAAATATGAACGGATAAAATACACAAATCAAAATACTGATAAAATGTCTATATCATAATAATCGTGCCAGGTGACTGGTAGTAATCAATGGTGGTGCTCCGTGAAGAATAGCAGAAACGCACACTCACCAGAAGGTGAAGCTTTGAATCTCCTAGGGTTAGTTTACTCTATATACCTGGATGACATATGTTTGCAAACCGTTACTCTGTTCATAATAAAGCGATGTTCTATCATACTACACTATGGGCGACCTTCCCTGACTCCTGGGGAGGAGTTTTATTTGCAGAGCCCGTTATAACAATCCTAGGCACCATACCAAAAGGAGGAGGACCTCCTGTAAACAGGCAACCCCTTCCATACATCCTTCATTAGGAGACCTCTTGTAACCTGGATCTCTTCTACTTTACTCTTGGGCGAGTTCTGAATGCAACCTGGAGGGAGGATTCACCCATTTTGCCCAGACCTTTTTCTAATGAGGATCCTTGGGATATGATATATACCGCTCATACTTATTTACCTTCTGGTGAGTGCGCATTTCTGCTATTCTTCACGGAGCACCACCATTGATTACTACCAGTCATCTGGCACGATTATTATGATATAGACATTTTATCAGTATTTTGATTTGTGTATTTTATCTGTTCATATTTTCCTCAAGCGCTGCACTGTTTTATTATTCGGTCCACTTACATCTGCCTGCCCGTAGAGGACAGTGGGTTGTGTCTGCTGTGCATAAGCGGGCACAGACCAGCCATCTGTCTGTTCAGCGGGGATAAGTAGACAGATCCCCCAGCTGAGCAAGGGGACTCCTAATGGAGCCCGCTCCATGTGGAAGGGGCCTTAAGCTGCACAGGAAATTTTTAGTAGCTCAGGCCAGCTACTAAAGTCACTAGATATTAATCTCTAGGTGTAGCAAATTGCAGAGAAGAGCAGCCCTGTAAAAGAAGGCTATCTACAGTATATTTATCTTTCCATCAGTTTGTGGCTTGAAACATTGTCTTTAAACTGAAGCCAGAGAGCAGTAAAGTAGTAGCATATCAAGACACAGGCTGCTTGAAAGGCTTTCTTGGGCTTCTCTTAAAGGGCTGGTATTCTTTTATGAGCAATCCTGTGATGACAGAGAAAATAGTGTCAACTGCCTGGCTGTGCGGTGTGGCAGAACTGTGTAAATCAGCGGACTGGAAGAATCAAAATTAAAATCTGCTGGCAGGTAAAACAGCTCAGTTATATGTATTTCACCTATATGATTTGCTGTTTGTCTGGAGTTAAACTACCAAAATTGCCAAAAATGCTGTATTCTGATAACGTTTTGGGTGAACATACTGTATGTAACAATAGTAGTCCACATATTGACTCATTTTTTTTTTTTCACATGAATTTATATATGTTTTTCTCAAAATCTGCATACAGACCAAACTGTCCAACAAAACTGACGGAGACAGGTGTTTGTACAAATGATATAGCTGACAAATGTGCCTGGGAATTTGCAGCAAAGGATTTTCTTTTAGTGGAGTTAAACCATGAAAATAAAAGGTAATGGTTGTAAGCGCCTTTTGCAGCTTGGTCTGCGTATGAATAGAAATATATACTGGAAAGTATAAATACAGGCAGAGAAAAAATAAAGGCACTGGAAATGAAAAAAAGAAATGCATACACTGAAAACTATCATTACAAGAATTAACTGTATACAATTATCAGAACACATTATTTTTCATGTTGGTGGTCCTTAAAATGACCCTTAATCTATTTAATTGCAACATGTGTATGCTGAGTGTTATTTACTGATGCACTGGCATTATCAGCATGTTAATTTGAGGCTCATTTTTATTTATTATGCTTTCAACTGCGCAAGCAAAAAAATGAAGTATGATGAATAAACACAAGCTTCAGACAAACAATAGCATTTTATCATAACTAAAAAAATTGACAAACAGTGACATGCAGCAGTTATTATTGCAATATGAAAAGTTTTTTATAAGAAAAACTATAGTGTGTTTTCACTGAGCACATATTTGAGTTTTTATTGTAAAATTTTGTTAACATAAATGAAGTATTAAGGATGAGCCAAACTGTCCTGGGTTCGGTTTGGACGACAAACCCAAACCCCAGTTGAAGTCAATAGGAGCCGAATCAGCCAAATTAAAAATTTTAATTTTGAGAGCTAATAGGCAAGTGCTTGTAAAAAAAAAAATAGCTTGGGAGGTGCCTCTGCCCTGGGGAACATGGAACATGTAAAAGAAAATTACAATTTCACTTGGCTGGGAGCAGTATTTTTTAAAAATAAAATTTACAAAGCAAAAAAAAACGGTTTCAATTTCTGGCAAATTACTTACTCCTTCATGGCTTCTTTTTTTTTAAAAAGAAAAAACTCCACACAGACCCTAAAGGTCCCTTTCATGCTTTCATGTTGATGGGAACAAGGGCCTTTTTCTCACAACCCTGGCCAGCAGTTGTGGGAGCATGTAGGTGAGTGGCTTATTGGAATCTGAAAGTCCCTTTAAAAATAAAGGGCTCCCCAGATACTGCCCCCCCCCCCCCACACTCAATTTCCAAGGAGACGAGCATCCATATATTTAGTATGGTCTACATTGATATCCAGTGATTGTGTATAATTTTGCTAGGTAGGGACATTATGCCCGGATCAGACTATTCAATAGGTTGAAGCTTGTTGCACACAGACAGTTTTTCTTGATCCTGGTATAATCAATCTTGAGTGTATGGACATCATTTATCTTTTCATGGTCAAGATAACATTGTCTTAATTTGGTAAAGGTGTGGGAGCATTTTGTACTCAAAATTGCGGAATTAACACATGGCTAATTGAATATTTCCCTTAGAGTTGTTTCCACCTCCCTCATGAACCTGCCCACACAAGTAAGTGCTGCATATGTCCAGGGACAGTCATGGGCGTTTCATCATTTAATGTGAAAGGACTTAACAATCCGGCCAAGAGACACATGACATGGAAAGAAACCTGCTGGTCACAGTGTGACGTCATGTGCCTACATTTGACACATTTTTCAACTCTTAAACCACCATCTTTTCAAACATTGTCACTTCCTGCTCATATGGTATATATCTCAAATGCTCCTAAAAAAAGAAAAGAAGGGTAGCTATCACAGTGAAAAACGCAGTTTTGAAGCAAGTGGAGATGATTTCTGATGAATTGGGCAAATATATTATATTGATATGTGAAATCAATATTCTGTATACTTTGATCAATGTATATCTCCCAAGGTAAAACAGCTCAAATTTCTAAAGAAAACCTGTGGGGTAAGGTTACCTCCATGCGGAAAGGTCATTTGATTTTATGTGGTGACTTTTATGCCATTCCAAATAGAGATTTAGACTTCAAACTCCTCTTCCCAACCTCATAGCCCCAGAGCTACACCTGCTCATTTTATCACCACATCTAATATATTTGACAGGTTGCAGTGCCAGCATTCCACGGAGAAAGATTTTACTTATTTTTTGCAAGTACACCACTCATACTCAAGGTTAGACTTATTCCTAGTAGATAAATTCTCGCTGCAAAGGATCAGCAAATCTGAAATACATACACTTAGATGGTCAGGCCATGCTCCAGTGTCCATTACTGTGGGGGAGACTAGCATCGAACAAGGGCAAATAGATTTTCTTACTGTCTCAACACAAACCAGTGATTTACAAGGCATTAAACGAATTCTTGTTATCAATGCCCCATGGGTGGGGGACCCCTTCACATTGTGGGGGACCCTCAAAGCCTTGATTAGAGGCCTTTTAATACAGTTGAGCACTAAGGTTAGGAGGCAAAGGGCCCAGAAGTTTAACAACTTCCATACTACTGTCCAAAAACTAGAGTCTGAGAATAAGCTGTCCAATTTTCAAAAGCTCTGTGATCAGTTATCTCAATTTAGACATGACCTGCAATCACTTCTAATGCATAAACATGATTGTCACCTTAGAACTTTAAGAGCTACCAGTTAGAGATTTGGCAACAAAGCAGGCAAATTGTTAGTGGACCAAGTCAAAGAAAAAACTGTAAAGCAAAAAAAAATTACTTATAACATTGACCTTACCACTGGCCAAAAAGTTTTTAACCCCAAAGAAATTGCTGATGCTTTCATTGCTTACTACAGTTCCTTATATAATATAAAGATCCCATAACTCACCAACCCCGGAACTTATTAATGACTTTCTGGCCTCAGTGTCATTGCCTGAAATACAGCAAGCAGATTTGGAGTCTCTTAATTCCCCATTCACTATCTCAGAAGCAGACACACTTATCAAACAGCTCCCCCCTAACAAATCGCCAGGACCCAATGGATACTCTTCGGAGTACTATCAAATTTATTTATTAATCTTAATACCATATTTGATCCCAGTTTTTAATGCTG